AATTTAAAACTGTTTTATATGACTACAAAAAAGATATGATATGATTCGACATATGTATGTATTTATAAAAAATATAAATATCTTCTAACGCTACTACAAAAATATTAGATTACTCTAAAAATGTTCGATTGGGTAACAAAATTTGACAGATCGAGAGTAAAACTAAATTGAATATAGATTTAACAATCAAAAACGCTATTAGAAATAATGTTGATGATATATCATTTTGAATCAAGAAAGAAATTAGCTTTATAAGTAAGCGAACATAAGTAATTAGTATATATAATTTATAATTCTATAAGTAATTAGAAATTAGTAACACATAATAATATTGCAACTGTAAGAGGGAGCAAATTGACGTCTTCGTGGTACGATTAGATGAATTCACTAAGAGTTACAAAATGTTATAAAAAATAAATTTTTTTTAGCAATTTTTCTTGATTACGCTCTATGTGAGCGAAATTTTTATTCTTTTTAATATATACTTTGATTTATCACAGATGATTATTAATGTACGTTTACAACACTTAACTATTTGACATTTACATTACAATCCCAAAATTTTAATTTCAACTACTATCGAAATCGGTGCTTTCCCTGTTTCACTCCAATCCAAACAGCAGAACAAACACATCACGTTGACGAAATTAGCTAAACGAAACATAATTCTGCAAAAATGTCTATAAATAAAGATAAGAAGTGGAGTGAACTTTCGTAAGTTAATAATAAACTATAATATAAACATTTATTTGTTAGAAAAGTGCAATGCAATTTAATTTGTTTTTTTATTTTAAACATCAGAAAGTTCGAGAGGTGTAAGTTTTTGGAAAATACACCTACGGATTGCACTTTTATTGTTGGATTTGCTAAAGATGAAATAAAACGAATACAATGTCACAAAGGAGTCTTAGTACAATGTTCAGATGTTTTCAATTCGATGTTCAATGGAAATTATTCAGAATCTGAAGAAAATTGTGAAATACGTTTAAATGATGTTCAACCTTCTGTGTTTGAAAATTTTGTGAATTTTATTTATTGGGACGTTGTACCAAATACAAATTCCATAAAAAATATTGTACAGTTGTCGTATTTAAGCGATAAATACATGATTTCTTCGCTAAGTAATAAATGTCAGCATCTGAAAGGCAATTATGTTACATTATTGGAATTCGTGGAATGTCTTAAATTTCCAATTTCTAACACATGTATTAATATACTTAATTCTGTTGTTTTAAGATGTAATAGAGGCGTACCGTCTTCGATTTATAATTTAAACCCATCATGTTTTTTATTCTTCTTTGAAAGACTTAGTAAAACACCATTTAAATTGATGCTTTTTGAAATAATGCAAAAATATGTGTTTATCAATTTTATGAAAAAAGAAACTCGTGTTGAAAATGTACACGATACAGATAATACAGATACACTTAGTATCAGTGGAGCGAATAAAATTATTATTAAACAATTGTGTTCAATGATTAAATTGGAGGATATGACAGCTAAAGAGTTTGTGGACGGACCTATGAAGTCCTCTTTAATAGATGCGCACACAAAATTAAACTTATTAATTAAAATATCTGAAAATTACATTCGATCAAAAGATTTGTTTTGTTACAATTGCTCATCATATCATAAGTATTAAATTGAATTTTTTTTAAATTTATCATTAATTAACTTTAATTATATATAAATATCAAATATTTGTTACAAAGTAATTAAAATAAATATTGGATGTATCAATTTGTCATTATTATCATTTAAAAAAAAAAATTAGCAATTCGGTAATATAGAATTATAAAAAATACACTTCAAATATATTTGTGAAAATACTAACAATAACTAACCGAAAAATAAAACATATTTACTAACGTAAACGCCAAATATTTTAATTCTAATTTTTGGGAATAGAGAAAGTGTTATTGCAATTCTGTACTTTGATTTATGAAAGCAAAAAAGTGAAGCTTTTCTTTCTATTTTATAAAACATCTACAGAACTATGTTAAGTTGTAGTTTAAATCAGATTTTTGCTATTAACTCTTTTATGGAACATCGTGGATATACTGGTTAGATATCGTTGCCAAAGCTCTTCTTAACATCGCAGACTGCAAGAGCAGCAATGTTAAACAATTCTTTAATATCAGTTTCCAATGTTTCTAATCTATTTCTTATTTCCACATTGCTTGATAGTACTTTTTTTCATTGTAGGTTGGGTGGATAATATTTTCGTAAAGGAGTGAACGAAATCTTATATTTACTTAAAAATGTCGTAGACATTTGCAAGCAACTTACGGCGGAAATAAACAACAAAAAATGAACCACTAATGAGATATATTTTATTATAGATTTTTTTAAGGATTTAAAACGTTTCAAGACATAGGTTACGATTTACAGTTCGCTATTTAAGACAAAGTTTCAGAAAATAAAATAATTGGTATAAGACTACAGGTGCAGGACTCAAAAAAAAGGGTGACTGCAAACTATTGCGGGTGATTCTTTGATGAAATTCCATGACGGTAAATTAACACTTTGGAAATATCTTCCCTTAATTCATTGAAAATTCCACTAGTCACAGAGTAATTATTATCAATTTCTGAAATTCGTATGGATATTAATACATTACCGTATTTCGTGTATGAAAGTAATATGGGCATGAATTCAATAACAAAATTAATCATAATATTTAAAATATTTTGCTTTTCATTTTTCTTGGCATTATAATGTTCAAATTATATGTACATATATATTATAAATAAAAATCAACTGTTTCAAGTACTTTCAAGAGTGATTTGCTGTTTGTGTGCGAGTTGTTCTAATTGCATGCTAAACTAAATGGGATTTTCCTTGGGATATTTTGTACTGCAAATATTTAGCAACAAATTTCAAAAAAGTCTGCGAATTGCACACTTTTTTTAGCATTTTTATTCATTTATTTTACAAATTAAATGAGTTAAAAAATCGTCGTAATATATTGAAACAGAGATCCTTAGCAGAATATGCAAAGGTAATTATAACATAATTTCAGTAAGTAACATACATTATGCCAAAGCGATTATTCTTCCGAAATATTTACAGCTATTGCGAAAAAAGATAATGTCATCATAAGAAAACATTTAAGACTTACAGTAATAGCATTACGTGCAAAGTTTATAAATATTAAAAAAGAATGGAGTGACCGTTTTTTTATTACTGTGTTTTTATATTGGCTTGGTTGTGGTGCAAGTTATCATGTAACAGAAGTATCGTTTGGAATTTAGAGATACACTGTTAGAGATATTTTTCACAAATGCTTAAAAGGGTTTCTTTCGTTAAAATCATTAATTATTAAATATCCAGCTGAAAGTGACTTTGAAGGCTTTTGTACAAAATTTAAACAACGAGCCGGTATTACAATTTTCAATTGTGCATTAGGTGCCATAGATGGAACACATATACCAATAGCTGCGCATGCACGACCTCGTGACCAATACATGAATTGAAAATCCTTTACATCTATCAATTTACAAGCTGTATATTCCAGCAATAAGGAATTTTTATCAATTTCAGTTGATTTTCCAGGATCGGTGCATAATGAGCGGGTTAAGAACAGTGAATTATTTAAATTGCAAAACTTTCCTCCACCAGGCTACTACCTGGTAGGTGATAGTTGATATTGTTGGCGGACTAGTCCAATTGCAATTTTCACTCCATATAAAAGATTGCAGTCATTGACATCAAGACGAATAAAATTTAACGAGCTCCGCAGTAAGGCTCGCACTGTTATTGAATACAGCGTTGGTGCTGTATTTTCGACAAAATACTTAAATAAAAAAATCGAACGTTATTTTGAAACAATAGCTGTAGCGTGTATAATGCATAATATATGTCTGAATGATGGTTTCAAGATTAATGAACGGATTGATGTCGCGGAACACCTCTACTATGAAGTAGTTTTCACTGAACCAGAAAACACTGCTGTTACTTTTATGCGCGATGAAATTGCAAATAGAATTCATCTATAACAAGTACTATAAAAATTTTACATAATACGCCAAATATATTTTCTTAAAACTATTTAATAGTCTTTTGAAAATTTTAATTGTTCTATAAAAATTAATTTACGGAGCACTCTTACTAACTAATATTTTGAACTTTGCTGGTGGATACTGTATATGGTTCAGCACCTTGTCGCATGTATTAAAGTCACTATGCGTAATCGGTATGTTTTACAGTGCACCATTGGTACGTTAAATATTTCACTGTCGGCAGGAAGTAAAGAACCATTGTACTTATTTGCTAATATTTGCGTACAGCTATTAAAATTTAATAGGCTCAATTTACTTGTAGGAGACGAACTAGTTTTTCTCTCAAACTTTGTAGAAATTTGGAACTATAATAAAAACATATTAAATAAATATTGTAAATAAAATATCCAAAATAAAAACTTTACTTACTTTAACAGTGATCCATAAGATAGTAGATATATACAAAAAATGAGCTGATGTGCACAGCACACTCCCTTACTCAGAATCAGACAATGGTATTTCAACTTGCAAAGAAGTTGAAATATACTGCGTTATGGCTCGTGCCGCCCTCCTCAGTTCCTTTTCTGTTCGCATTGCCGAATTCAGGAGCGCCTGTGTAGTTGTGGCCCGGCTGGATGAAGTCCCGGAATGCTGGGAACTTGTTGGCGATGTGATTCCTAATATACATTCTACATCCGGGGCAATTGGGTCTGGACTGCGCTCTTCGCTGTTTATTATAAGTGGCGGATTCATTTTATGGCGCTGACTGCAATATTCATGAAGTTGATCATAAAATGGCCAACTTATTGCGTTGTCAGCACCACAATTGCCACTACCCGCTGGTGGATTTTTAAGACGCTAAAAAAATCAATTATTAATATTTTAATAGATTCAAAAGGTTGTTAATTTACTTGATATTTTTTTTTTAAATTATTCCAGCGTTGCTTGAGCACAGTCCAGTCGTCATTTGCCCCGCATTCCTCACCAACTAGCCTATAAAATAAATATTTTGTTATAAACATTTATTTATTTATTTAATAATTTACTCCCAGCATTCTCGGGGATTTGCTCGCTTCCGAGTGAACATATCATCCAGCCGTATGCGTGCTGCAATGAATAGGTCCACCATCTCTTTGCTCCCTTTAAATAAATAAAAAGTATTTTATAAACATATTGTTAAGTCTGTAATGAATAAATAAAATACATCTTTCATTATATTTCCGTTTTTGGGACATTACACTCTGATATTACTTTTGTTATTAATAAAATTTAAATATATGTCAAAAATATACAAAATAAATAGCGTTGCCAGGTCAATAGCATAAAGTTTCGTACTTAGCTTTTTAAAATCAATTTATTATAAAATATATGTGATACAATTATTAAAAATTATAATTATTCATAATATAAAGAAAATAATATATAAAAAGTAATAATTTATTAAACATCTAATATTATATTCCGACACACCTTAATTTCTTAAAAATCTTAATTTCATTTTCATTTCAACGAAATTAAGTTGGTTTTTTCCATATAAAATTCAGTTTTTAGGTTAAAGAAAATGAGCTTAATTTCGTTGAAAGTCTGATATTAATGGACATTTCAAATGCAACTGTGCGTAAGATAAATTTTAAGCAAAAGATAAAGTTGAGATAACGAAAAAGAGACATTTTTTTATATAAATGTCAGTGACAGTTGACTTTAATAAAATTGGGAAAATATTTTGAAAGTAATGCAAATTTTTAAATTTATATATAGAGAAAAAATTAAATGTTATTAATTTAAAATGAAGTGAAAAGTAATAATTTACATACCTGAAATTCACTAAAGGTAATAAAATTACTGAATGCCATCCATTATAGTTATAATAATCAACGTTTAAAATTTTCTATATACAAATGGTGTTTGAAGCATGTAATTTTTAACATGCGATTTGTAAACAAAAAACATTTGATGTCTATAATTTGGAGCAGTATGAACATTTTCGAAATTAATTTAATTTAATTTTTACGAAATTAAGGAAATTTGGCTGTCTGAATATAATATAAGTGATGTTAGTGGCAATTTTCATACCTGTATTATATGCCGTTTATACTGGCTGAAAATAGCTCATTTCGAATGAACCATTTGAAAGTGTTTGCATGGCTTGTAATTCATTTGTTCTCATTTCAAATAGCTAATTTTTCAACTTGCCTGTTGATTTGATTTTTGGCCTGTGCCAAAAAATGTTGCATGAAGGTTAAATATACCTTCAAATCTTACAATATAAACTGAAAACACATTTTTATCTTCGATTTATCTTCGATTAAGTAGAAGTTTTAAAAAAATGTGCATCGTTTTCAAAGAAATGCAACTACCAAACATTGTCAAAATACAATGAAAAGCTTTTATTTAGGGTGTGTTGAATGTATTCATTTGCATTTGGAACATATTTGGAGTTCATTCTAATGTTGTTGGAACTCATTTTTACAGAATGAGTTCCAATGGATCTCATTTGCGCTTGAGATTTTGTATGCAAAAATAAGTCATTTGCTTCCATTTGAGGCCAGTGTAAATGCTGTATTACGGTTTATTCACATAACAGAATAATTAATTGTACTTTCGATTTTAATTTTGTTCTGCATGTGCATTAATTAAGTTAAAAGTTAAGCCAAAATTAAGTACAAAATTATAATTCAATTTCATAAAATATCAAAAATTTTATAACCAAAGCTACAATTAAATTTAAATTTTAAAAGAATCAAATTTACTACATCAAACTGAACTATTGTGAATAGCTAAATTCTGTTTAATTTTGTGAATACTTAGAAACTGTCAAGAATTTTTTTATTTGTGAAAAATAATTTTCTGCTGAAGATAATAATTTCATATGAGTTGTTTTTAAAAAATAATCATATTGTGGATGTATAAATAATAGTGTTGTATGATATTGATTTGATTGAATATAAATATGAATCTAAATGGTCGGCAGTTTCGTGAATACGCTGGTGGTAGCGTTGGTGGCATTTTACGGAAAAATAATGCAAACGCAAATCAAACAACTACCCCAGCGACTGCCTACACTGTTGGTGAAGCGCGGCAAGTGGACTTATTGGTGTTTGGTTATGCCTGTAAAATATTTCGTGATGATGATAAGGCACGTGAAATTGATCAGGGCAAACACCTCATACCATGGATGGGGGACAATAGCCACAAAATTGACAGGTTAATAATTGTTGCTTTATTTTCCAGTTGATATTAGTTTTAAAAATGTATTTGTTTTTAATATAAATTTATAGTTTATAGCAAGGAGGTTTGGAACATGTTATGTTATAACTTAAATTGTTTTAATGATAACAATAAGCAGAATAATATATCAAATGATATGGATGTGGTTTTTAGGGTATTCCAATGCTGCAGTCCTACTACAGTCCTTAAATTTTGGTCCATGAAAAGCAAATTTTGACCATATACATTTTATATCATTATTGTGGTTATAGCTTATAATTGCATTTTTAGAAATGAATTAGTTGATAACATTTTGTTTTGTTCAAAATTGTTGTTCAATTTATATGAAACTGAGAATGAAGGAAATGGTATGTAATGTTCTATATTTTTTCTTCAACGGGGAGGCTTCCAAGGTTTGAAAGTAATAATGAACTTAATATTGTTAACTATTGTATACTGCAAGGGTCACTATTTGTATTGCGAGTTTTATGCTAAATAAAAAACGAACTTGTCGTGAAATCATTTATCATACTATTCCGCTGGGTGAACACCTCTAAAACAACAGACTATGAACTTTACAACCACGTTTTCTGCTGAGGAAAATCATTGTCCCCTAGCTGGACTTGTGCGGGAACAAAATTAAGTACATAACATATCAGGATTACGAAGGTGGACTTTTGATAGGATTTTTTTGGCTTTTCAAAACGTCACTGTTTGAATGGATGTGTGGGTGCTTGCATTGTCGTGGTAGTTACGTTTCTTGGTTTTCTACTGGCAAAAAATACTAGTATATCTTCATGAATTTATCATCTAACATTATTGTAATGGGACTGTCGCCACATGCCATTTGTTTGGTGTGCTTCAAGCGCAATATTATTAGGTTTGGTTCATCATACAGTTGACTTTTGTTTAGTATCAGGCTCATGCGCATAGATTCATAATTTGTTACTTTAAACACGTTTTTCAACGTTTCCATCATTTTTCGCACCAATTCCTACGAGTATCATGTCCAAGAATTTCCGAGCAACGTCCCGAAGCCACTCATCGAGTTTGACGATCAAGCGCTATTTGCCACACCCAGAAGATGGGCTACAACGAGTATAGTATTTTTTTGGGATTATGTAAAATTTTGTGAGACTCGATGAAAACAAAACTTTCCACGATGGAATTAATGCCTACGGTTGGCTTATGCTCGCAGTATGGTAAATTGCATCACTTGGTAAGACTCAATGAAAGCATTCCTCTTTACGATGGAATTAATATCTAAGATTGGTTCATATTAACAGTATGATAAATCGTGAAATTATGTGGAATTCATTGACAACAAATCTCTCTATGATGGAATTAATGTCTACGGTTGGCTCATACTCATAGTATGACATATATGATGATCTTGCATAAATTTTACACGCGGTCAATATGTTTTGGCACAATAACTGGCTTTGAAAGACTTTCACGAATTTTGTTCAAGCGCAAACGATATTAACAATCAAACATCTGGGGCTTTATCGTTAAAAGTAGAAGTAAATTTACCAGTGCATTCTTATATTGATAGCACAGAGCGGAAATCTTAATAAAACATCATACGAAAAATATTTAAACTTGATTCAGAGCAAATGATGCAAAGTATCTGTGCAGCCAAAAATGTCCAACTTTCCGATGGAAATGTCAGCTTGCAGCTAATTATACTTCCGATTGCCAATGCTTATCATATTAATAGTGACCCACGCATATAATTTCCTTAGATTAAAACAATTGCGTCTCAATTATTAAATTATTGATAACTATTTTTAATATTAGTAGATTGTGCTAAATTTAAACTGTTATTTTAGTGTTGTATATGTTACTAACTTTTCAAAGACTTAATGACTATTATCAACTATGCAATACTTATATATCGTAAACTTATGTATATCGAAAAATATGTTATTAGAAAGTAGTTGAGAAGAGAAATATAAATAAGCAGAATTCTAAAGAAGACAATTCATGGAGTAAAAACTGCCTTTTGCTGTCATTTACTTTTAAGATAATAAGTGTTATCTTATTATTAAGCTCCTTAATGAGTGTTGTGTTTTATTTATGCAATAGTAGCACGTTAA